TCGCGTATGTCGCGAAAAATCCGCGTTTTAATCGAAGGAAATTTGGCAACGTCCCAATATTCATTCTGAGTTTTTCCCAGGATGATGCGGGCGGAGCGGAGAGACGAAGATATGTTAATGAATCGTGGTTGATTCGCCCCTCATCTTCGCGCGTCGCGTCGGGCGGGCGGGCGGCGGCGCGCGGCGGCGGCGATTATGATAATAATTATGACAAACCTATAACCAGTTTGGAACGCTTCTCTTAGACCCAGCTACTGGTTTGTTTCCATACTTTCAGAAGTTCCACGGCCTGACTCCGGCTTACTCACCGATCATCCGTTGCCAAACCCTCGTTGCCAATTCTCTTGCCCCAACTTGCATTAAAAATACCACTCTCAAACTTTAGACCAAAAAGCAGTATGAGCAAGCAACCGTTCACGAAAAAAGGACCCTAGCAGGCTGATTATTGTAAATAGACAAAGAGGACATAACGAATGCGGAGCGATCCTATTGGTAAATCTAGGTGGTTCTCATGGATTAAGGGGGTGAATTATGGACTAACTAAAGGGTCTCTCGTGAGTTGCCGTTAATTAGTCTATTATACAAACCTCCTTTGTTCATTGCAAGCACCCGTTTTCACCGATTGGATCCCTCCATATCATTTTTGTCTTCTTTATCTATCGCTTCGTCTATCAACGTCGACTATCAGCCCGCAGTCCATAGAGGGTAAGTTATCATCAGTGCAACGTTTTTCGTCAAATTAGGTCGGAAAATCAAATTTTAACATTTTGACGGGAGACGTCCTCTGAAGTCCTCATGAAGTTGCGAGCGGTTCAATTTTTTTACCATTATAGGCGGGAAGTTGCATGAAAATATGGAGATTTTGTACCCTGAACATGACAAATGAACTTTCCTAATTTGTTGGAGCGCCTTCAATTTCGTATGATACTCTGCAATACCTCTGGTGTGAAATAGTTGCTTTAAGCGCCGTGGTACGCTGCAGAGCGGCGCGACGGGCGGGCAGCCAGAGCGAAACGCGCATTGGCGCCTTCAAACCTAACAGGGATACCTCACGGATTGCGCAATGCGTGAATTATCCCAGTTAGGTTTGTAGGCGCCATTGCGCCGCCGCTCCGCTTTGTGTTAGGCTCTAATATTTAATCTCGTGGAATCAGCGTTTTTCAACGCATGACTTTGAAATGTTTGCACACTCTGTATAGATTATTCTCATTTTAATTGATGGAAAAAATTATGTAGTAAAGGAAAATATAATATGCGTTTTGTAAATATTAAAGTGATTCCGTACACTTAAGGATACTTAGGGTAACTTAAGGATTTTCAAAGCACACGAATTTCTACACAATTTCTTATTGCCTTTTATAGCCGATGGCAAAAAGCAACTGCCAGGCGATAAAATGTAAAGTCCGGCGATAGGAACTATAGCCCGGCTGTATAATTTTTTATCGCTTCGTGTAGCCCGGCTGTATAATTTTTTCCACTTTCTACAGCCAGCTATACGAGTTTCTATCGCCTTCTACAGTCGGCTATAAGAACTCCTATGGTATTTTGAAACGCAGCTCCTATCGCCAATTTTTACCAGGGTCCTGTGGAATGATTTTATTTTGCAAGAAAAAAGGCGCCTTCAGGTGTAAAAAGGCGCCTTCAGGTGTAAAAAGGCGCCTTCAGGTGTTAAAAAGCACATTCAGGTTTTATAAGGTGCCCTCGCGTGATAAAAGGCGCCTTAAGTACCCTGAGATAAAAGAATATTATCTGTAAAACTTCAAGAAGCTGAGGCTCAGGGTTTTTTGCAGATATGGGCTCCCAGGCGCATTTTTCCACTCTTCCCAGAAGTAGATAGGGGATGGAGGGGACCTGTTCACGCTTCTGTCAGAGGGGGTTCTAGGAGGCTCCTCCAAAAAATGTGAGATGGTGCCCTTTCTCAAAGGCACTTTCAGGCATTTTCCAGCAAAAGTTATGAAAGAATAGGAAAGGAAAAATAGAATATTGGAAACCTAAGGTGACACGAGATGACTCTGAAGTTTAAAATCTTAAAGAAATAAGTACTCACGTGCATTCGATGAAAAAAAAAGTTAGCTCATAGATGCCCAAGCCGTGTCAAATTGACCCGAGGCTTGCTAAAAATACGTGCTATGCAGGTTGTATGCAGCCGGTTCGTCGGGGTTTTAGACGTAGGTTTACTAATAAATCGTAAAAGAAAAGAATCGGACATCAAATTGAAAAATAGAAAAAAAAAATCGAGTGTCAGGGAATTCATTTGGCAGTTACTCCTAAGAAACCCCAAGCCGGGTCAAATTGGCCCGCCTATTTCTTTTGGGGGTCGAGTTATTGCGCCGGTATATATGTCGAAGGCATTTAGTCAAATCAGGCATTTTATCATATGCCCAGGCCGGTAGGCAAATTTTGACAGTTTACGGAATTCTGTAAATTTATAGTAAGGAGTTCACGGGTTTTCAATATTTTGGGAAAAATGACTGTTCAAATCTGCGAACTCTCCTTGTTCCTTCCGTTTTACATGTCTTTAGTACATTTACATGTTTAAATTTTAAAAATTCTATGTTTTATGACGTGCTGAAAATTTTATGATAAATGTGCATTCAGGATCTTAAAATCGTTTATAATACGTATGCTGCATATTTTTACAGAGAATTATTACAGGATCAATGAATTATATTGTCTAAAATTAGGGTAAAAAATTAAAATTTCAATTTAAGGGCAAATATTTGATTATTTGCCTAGGCATTTGACGAAATGCCCGATTTGACTGTTTGCCTTCGACCTATACAAGCTTTTGATAGAGATGAACTAGTACTCCTTCAAAAGAAAAAAAAAAAAAAAAAAAAAAAAAAAAAAAAAAAAANAAAAAAAAAAAAAAAAAAAAAAAAAAAAAAAAAAAAAAAAAAAAAAAAAAAAAACAGAAATCAAACTGTAAAAAGGGTAGGAGAAACGTAATCGTAATCGGGCCTCGTCTTTTAACTTTTCTCCCGAATCTGAGCAACATTTATCTAAGTGGTAGCATAAGCGTAAGCGGAGCATTGCGAGTTCTCGCAGCGCATCATCGCGCCTTCAATTTTGTAGATACAACAAGGACATCCATCAAGCACGAATAGTTGTATCTCTGCGCCGTCATCGACGCGCGTCCTTTCCCTTGCTCTTTCTCCATATAATATTGTATGATTTACTGAGAAAGTTTTGAGTCGAGAATAATCAAAGCAGTCTACCGGTCAGCGCGTGTTAATTCACACCAATTTGGGGAAGGAGGAAAACACAACCAAAAGCCCGCCTACCGGTATCATCGTTGCATTTTTCAAAAGCCTTAAAAGTTTGAACTTGCACGGTTTGGAATTCCAAAGTTTTCAGGGGACCGGATCGCTCTCAGGCTCCTCCCTTCTTTTCAACAGGTCCTCACTAGGTCCTCCTCATCAGTGCTGTAGCGTGCTTTGCGATATATCGATTCATCTGCTATTTAAACCTATGGAAAAAATCGATGAAAAAGGTGTTCGCAACGAACACCTGAATAATCCATTCTTTACCTTAGCTTCGAATGGGGAAATATCGATAATCGATCATTCACGCCTTGCCATTGTCCTCATGGGGGCGCTGTCAATATACTTGCCCTAGGATCCGAAAATTCATGGCACCCCTGGCTAGGTGCGCGCGTATGCCCTTTGGTTTTTTCGCTAAACAAATTGACTTTTTCAGCTGTGGAGCCATCAGACCATTTTCACATTCATTAATTAATGAGGTGCGTTATTTGTTTGGGATTAAATACAGCTCATACGCTTAGGGGCTATTTTTGTATGGAACCGCCTCCTCAAATGATAAATTTTTAAAAAATCCACCCTCGTATAACAGGGCTAGAAAAGAACACATTCACCAAGACATTTCGGTTAGAAACACCACAAACTCCACCAATTCCTTCGAATGACTGTAACACCTTGCAATTCTGGTCACCTACAGACCAGGGTCGGATTTAGGGGGTGGCCACATGGGCCGCGGCCCATGGCGGCAAATTTAGGGAGCGGCAAATTTTCCAATTTTTTTAAATGTAGGTATAAAGAAAAATCGGATTCAGGAAAAAAAATACAGACGAGAAAAGATAACAACATCTCTCATTTCCCGAGAGTATATCTCTAATTTTGTCATCTCTATATGATACATTAGACAGCACCTTTAATTAGTCGAATTAAGACTAAGAGAGAAACCGAACACGGAATTTGGCCTGGAACGGCGCGGCGCAGAGAGCAATGATGACGAGAATTTGAGATGAAAAGGAGAAACCCTTGGCGCGGCGCGGCGGTCGGCATGTAACACATGCTAGCGCCTTCAAGACTGCAAGAATACTCCACTCATTGCGTCAAAGACAGTGCGGTCGCTGTGGTCAGCAGCGGGCGGTGTGAAACGCATAGCGCCTACAAGATTGCATGAATACTTCACGCATTGCGTCGAACACGGTGCAGTCAGCACGGCGGCGCCGCGGCGGAAGTTAAACTTATTAAACCACATTTATGTTTGTTCTTTCATAATTTTTTCGTTCATTTCATATAAATGGAAGGCCCTGTCCACACAGAGATAGGTTTACGGAACTTAACTTTCGCGCCAAGCTCCGTGAACTTTTACTTGTAGTGTTGACAGGGCTTTCGCAAAAAAAAGTGTCCAGCACGAGTAAACGCGTCTTATGCACCCCTCCCCCTCCGGCACGTTCACTTGATGGTTTTTATTGATACTTCAAAACGAATGAGAAGGGGGCGGCAAAATACAGGCGGCCCATGGGCGACAAGTAAGTAAATCCGGCCCTGCTACAGACCTCTTTTTGAGCTACAAAACCCCGCTAAGAACTAATTTTGTCCTTAAATATGACCTTCCTCCTTCTTTTCCTGTAAGCTCGTCAATTTTTCTGTTTCTAGCGACTATATGGCAACGTTCCCGAGCACACATGAATGGACAGAGTTTCAGTCTGCGCGCGGGCACGGAGCTGCGGGCGACTGTTGGCGACTTCCAACACTGGCTAAACATTCAAGTTCAGTCGGATCAGTTCATGATCAGCAGGTCGACTTGACTCATTGCGCTTTGCCGGGCTTCCTACCAATAAATATTTCGAGGATAATTATTGTGAGTGTGTGTTTATCAGTTGACAGTTTCGCGCAGCTCCTCAAGAGGCTGCGTTCCTTGATCATTTCATATGGCTTTTTCTTGCTGATCTTCTCCTCGAAGCAGGAAGATATCCCAGACGACGTAAATATTGACCGAGATGTAAGTATCGCATGATGAGTTTTTCCCTACGAGTTGCTGTGATTGGAATGTCAATTTAGACGCAGTTGTGCCCATCTCAACATTTCGTCAAACAATTTATTCCTTATGCGGAAGTAGTTGACATTTTTCCGGAATTTTTCTTAAACTTATCAGGAACTACATTAGAGCTACGTTTAATTTGTTCAAGGCTTCACCACGTTTTAGAATTTTCGGACGATACCCTCACTTAAGATTGAATGAATGCTTGAATTATTTTTAAACGTATTGATATTTTTCAACGCATCTCCTTATTTCATATCTCGTTGCTCTTTAATCACTGAGCCAATTTTTTTTATTAAAATATTAAACGATGGCAGCAAGATCGATCAAAATCCGAATTCCCCCCCCCCCCATTATGATTATAATCCGTAATATAAGCGAGATATATTTTTTCTAAATGCTTATTCATGTTATGGGGGTATTTTAGTGCTGAAAAAATCAAGTACAAGGTATTTACAGGTATTTACCTGAAAAATATCCCATATCTGCACGATTTAATCGAAAAACAACCCCATAAAATAACGTTATGAACTAAGTAAAACTCTCACTAAGTTTCGAGACAAGGTAACTTTTAATATTTTGTCCACGTTATTTTTTCCTCTTCTAATCGTAAGTGTGATGGCGAATATCGCAAATGACGATGAATTTATCGATACTTGTTTGTTTCATCATATTTTCATTTATTATGTGTGATAATGGAAATCAAAAGTCACATAATAAATCAAACGATTAGAGGGTTTAATGTTTTAATCAGATTTCATCATTCATAAGTATATGTTGTCTCGGTTGTTGTGAAATTTTTCACTGCGGCAATCGGTCGTATTATAAAATTTAAGAGGATGTATCATTCTAATGCTAAAACGAGATTGCCGAAACGTATCAAAGATGATGTCTGTTACTTTTTCAAGATATACATTTTTTTAAAGTAATAATTTGTGGAAGCATCTCGTAAAGCTTAAGCGTGCTTCTGAGCTTAAAACTTTATATTCTTGACATGCTCTTTAATCACTACACTAATTCTGATTAATTTTCTGTCTTAGGGGACCTAACCAGCTGATTTCTTCATTAATGCAACTAGTTTTTATCCTGTTGTGTTGTTACTCATCCGTCGAGACTTGGGCGACGCCACGAACTATCAGACAAATATCAAGTGAGTTTTTTACATTTCTCATCAAGTATCCGGAACCACACATGTGGAATTGTACGAAGTAAATTTAATATAACTTTTTTTTTTTTTTTTTTTTTTTTTTTTTTTTTTTGTTGTAAAATAAACATGATGATACTACTGACTTTCTCCCAAATCAACACTCAATCTAAAAAAATAAGCTACTTAAAATGGAGCCGTAGTGGATATGCATCCCTCTGTTCTCAGCATAGGATCAGCATATCTACACAGTTTTTATATCGTCGAGCAAATCCTATGTAGTATTGCTAAATTTGAAGAAAAGGAGTCGCTACAAAGACGGATCCAAAGGAGGGGGGCGTAAGGGGCGTATAGGTGGGAAAAAAGGAAGGAAGAAAATGAGGAAGGAACCGAGGAAAGAAGAAATAAGGACTCTTGTAGTTGGTAACTGGACCGCGTTTAGCAGAGCAGAAAGGAACTAAACGCCATCAGCTATTGCCAAATTTAACTCGTCAATTCAGTTTTTTACAAGAGAGCATTTGTGTGGATTCCTTAGACAATTTTAAGGAATTTGCTTCGAACGATGCAGCAAATTTACTGAAATTTGCACAAAAATCCGCACAACCGTTTTGACGTAAAAAACAAAATTGACCGATAAAATTTGGCAATAGCTGATGTAGCTTTGTTCCTTTCTGCTATTGACGCGGTCCAATTATTAATGACGGAATTGACTTAAAACGCATGTTAAAATGCTTTCAAAATTCCGAAAAATACTCGGGGAAAGCCCTCGGGCCTTCCTTCCGCCCCTCGTTTGGAAAGTCTAGATCCACTTAGGAGTCAATGATCCTCATTTCTCCCAGTGCCTTTCCAGGCATTAGTACCCAGTACCGAATTTTGGAACTTTTGAGGTTTTCCTGAATTTTTCTCGGAACTTTTGCAATTTCCGAAATTTTCCGGATCTTTTGCTTTTTCCGGAACTTGTTTGGGACTTTGAAAAAAATCTAAAAAGAATCCCGGAACTTTTGAAAAAATCTGAAACGAATTCCGGAACTTTTGAAAAAATCTGAAAAGAATTCCGGAACTTTTGACGGTCATGAGGAGGGAGAAATTGGAACGAAAAAGTTCCGAATCCCGGAACTTTTGACGGACATGGGATGGGAGCACTGAATCCTCCACTCTTGCAAGATGCCCGTTTCCCAAAAGCTGACTAACCCTCTCTGTTGGAAACCCTTTTGTGCAGAATGCGGCTCGAACACAGAGTGCGTGAACATCAGGAAGTGTAAGTACATCATAGAGCGGCTGCAGAACAAGGAGAAGGACCCGACGATAATCGAGGACGTGCGGAAATCCACGTGTGGTTTCGAGGGGCGCGACCCGAAGGTATGCTGTCCAACGGCCAGCCGCCCGAAACCGCCCCCGTATCAACAACCCCCGACGGACAGCACCAACAACCTGGACGCCTTCGACCTGAACCGCTACCCCAAGCTCCGCGGCCAAGAGAAGTGCGGCATCACTGGTATCCTTCCCAATCGTATTGTCGGCGGACGGAACGCGTCTTTAGGTGAGATAACTCCCTCATTAAGCCTACCTCAGAGACAAGAGACCCTCCACTGGCCTCTTGGCGACAGGTGGAAACTTTTACTTTCGGGGACTCAACAATTCCTTATGGACGATTATAAGGGAGCAACAGTCATCACCCTACTTTCGGCTGTTGACCTAGACCTGCATGGTGGATGATGAGCTTTGGGTGACGTCACGAGCCAAACAAGTCTCCCAAACTTTGGATATTTTCGGCATGTTTGTGAAACGAAACTGCCGACGATTTGTTGTTGAACATCAATCATGTCGGTAAGTCAACAGTAGAATGCTGAAGTCCCGAAAGTAAAAGCTTCCACCATGGCCAAGATACTAGTGTAGGGTCTCTTGCCTCTGTCCTACCTACAGAGCGGGCTATTATTGACATTGATACGCAAAGCGATAGACAAAGAAGACAGGAGGGAAATTGAGCGATGTAATTGGTGTAAGGGTAATTGGTTGATCTGTCTTACATCCCCATCCTATAGAAGTCGCCGTTTAAGCGCTACATGCTTTTTTACGATTTTTACAGCCGATTATTAAAGGCAAGTGTCCTTATTAGGGTACATGACCTTATTTGGCGCACCTACCTTACTCAAAAATAAAAATTAAATTACAAAAATGAAGGAAAGTCTCTCCCTATTTGCCGTTCTCCTTTAAAGTTCGTCGCGTCTTGGGGCAGCCAAAAATTCAAGTAATCTGAGTTTCCCGTTCAGTTAGGAATTTTCCGAAAGGCAAGACATATTTTTAACGAGGAAAATATTAATCACAAGCTACCTTGACATTTTGCAGACCGATGGTGAAAGTATAAAGCCACGGGTCTCCGTTTGCGAAGTTATAAATCTCCTGTTGCGTTTCATTTTTCCAAAGGAGGCCTGTCTTTCGTTTTTGCATAAAATTCCGTTTGATTTTACTGCGACTTTTCAACGAGGTCGCAGAGGATCTTGTCCTGAAATAAAAAATCGCTTCTGTAGGTAAGTGAAGCTGGAAGTTTTTAAAAATAATATGAACGAAAGAACGCCTGCTCTCTTTTGAGTGCTCAGTAAGAAACGTTAAATGCTCAGTATCAAAATTTTGCATTAAAATAAGGGGTAGAATAGGTACGTCGCGTAGAATTTCAGTTAGTTTTTCTATGTTATCTTGTCTTTTTGTTAAATTGACCAAATTCTTCGGTTAACTTTACAAAATCTTTGAATTTGAAAACTTCAATTCCGTAAGAGCTTAGCCCGGACCTCAAAGTTTGACCCCTGAATTGACAATCCAACACGTTGGTCATTCGTTAGTCGGAACCGAAGAACAAAATTGAGAAGCACTTGAACACTTTCGGCGAGTGAGATTTTTATTTTCTATTCTGAGATGTTTCGGATCAACTTAAGTTTTTATTAATTTAACCAAAAATTTACTTGATTAACCTCACTAAGAGGAAATTAACGCAAAGTAAGCAAATAAACACGGAACTGACTAATGGTGCGCCTAATCTGCAGAAGGAGCAAGTATCTGTTTATTCAATCGAAAACGCAGGAAAAAGCGGAAACAAGGCTAAAAATACAAAATATAAAGGCAGGACGTTTCGGTACCTTACGGCACCATTATCAACTGCAAAAAGAATTTAAAATAAAAAGAAATTAAAATAAAAACCAGCAAACGGCGTTACATCGTGAAATTGGTAATTGAGTCTCATTTACCAATTTCACGATGTAACGCCGTTTGCTGGTTTTTATTTTAATTTCTTTTTATTTTTAATTCTTTTTACAGTTGATAATGGTGCCGTAAGGTACCGAAACGTCCTGCCTTTATATTTTGTATTTTTAGCCTTGTTTCCGCTTTTTCCTGCGTTTTCGATTGAATAAACAGATACTTGCTCCTTCTGCAGATTAGGCGCACCATTAGTCAGTTCCGTGTTTATTTGCTTACTTTGCGTTAATTTCCTCTTAGTGAGGTTAATCAAGTAAATTTTTGGTTAAATTAATAAAAACTTAAGTTGATCCGAAACATCTCAGAATAGAAAATAAAAATCTCACTCGCCGAAAGTGTTCAAGTGCTTCTCAATTTTGTTCTTCGGTTCCGACTAACGAATGACCAACGTGTTGGATTGTCAATTCAGGGGTCAAACTTTGAGGTCCGGGCTAAGCTCTTACGGAATTGAAGTTTTCAAATTCAAAGATTTTGTAAAGTTAACCGAAGAATTTGGTCAATTTAACAAAAAGACAAGATAACATAGAAAAACTAACTGAAATTCTACGCGACGTACCTATTCTACCCCTTATTTTAATGCAAAATTTTGATACTGAGCATTTAACGTTTCTTACTGAGCACTCAAAAGAGAGCAGGCGTTCTTTCGTTCATATTATTTTTAAAAACTTCCAGCTTCACTTACCTACAGAAGCGATTTTTTATTTCAGGACAAGATCCTCTGCGACCTCGTTGAAAAGTCGCAGTAAAATCAAACGGAATTTTATGCAAAAACGAAAGACAGGCCTCCTTTGGAAAAATGAAACGCAACAGGAGATTTATAACTTCGCAAACGGAGACCCGTGGCTTTATACTTTCACCATCGGTCTGCAAAATGTCAAGGTAGCTTGTGATTAATATTTTCCTCGTTAAAAATATGTCTTGCCTTTCGGAAAATTCCTAACTGAACGGGAAACTCAGATTACTTGAATTTTTGGCTGCCCCAAGACGCGACGAACTTTAAAGGAGAACGGCAAATAGGGAGAGACTTTCCTTCATTTTTGTAATTTAATTTTTATTTTTGAGTAAGGTAGGTGCGCCAAATAAGGTCATGTACCCTAATAAGGACACTTGCCTTTAATAATCGGCTGTAAAAATCGTAAAAAAGCATGTAGCGCTTAAACGGCGACTTCTATAGGATGGGGATGTAAGACAGATCAACCAATTACCCTTACACCAATTACATCGCTCAATTTCCCTCCTGTCTTCTTTGTCTATCGCTTTGCGTATCAATGTCAATAATAGCCCGCTCTGTAGGTAGGACAGAGGCAAGAGACCCTACACTAGTATCTTGGCCATGGTGGAAGCTTTTACTTTCGGGACTTCAGCATTCTACTGTTGACTTACCGACATGATTGATGTTCAACAACAAATCGTCGGCAGTTTCGTTTCACAAACATGCCGAAAATATCCAAAGTTTGGGAGACTTGTTTGGCTCGTGACGTCACCCAAAGCTCATCATCCACCATGCAGGTCTAGGTCAACAGCCGAAAGTAGGGTGATGACTGTTGCTCCCTTATAATCGTCCATAAGGAATTGTTGAGTCCCCGAAAGTAAAAGTTTCCACCTGTCGCCAAGAGGCCAGTGGAGGGTCTCTTGTCTCTGAGGTAGGCTTAATGAGGGAGTTATCTCACCTAAAGACGCGTTCCGTCCGCCGACAATACGATTGGGAAGGATACCAGTGATGCCGCACTTCTCTTGGCCGCGGAGCTTGGGGTAGCGGTTCAGGTCGAAGGCGTCCAGGTTGTTGGTGCTGTCCGTCGGGGGTTGTTGATACGGGGGCGGTTTCGGGCGGCTGGCCGTTGGACAGCATACCTTCGGGTCGCGCCCCTCGAAACCACACGTGGATTTCCGCACGTCCTCGNGGGGGGGGGGGGGGGGGGGGGCGGAAAAAATTAGTTTCTTATCCTCTAAACTTTTTAGAAGTAAGGAGAAAGAGGTCCCCCTCCCCCCTACTAAATTTTTCTAGACCTGATCACTTGCCATATAGAAAAATAATTCGAAGTTCGAGCACATCTCAGAGACTTAAACGCACGTAAAGAAAAGTTAGCACCCTCTTTGATTTGTGAACAACACCTTTAGGTAGACTAAGTTTATATCTATAGACTTAGTTTGTGGATGAAGTTGTTGTAAAGTATACAGTGTTGCCAAATAACTTACGAGAGATGGCATGCAGGGTATATCTATGAGACTTAAACGCATGCATAGAAAAGTGGTGAAGAAAAGTTGCGTAGAAAAGTTGTACCGCCTTTGATTTTTGAACCGGGTCCATATACCTAGTCCATAGATTTTTAGTGCTTTTTCTCGTCTGTGAATAAATAGGTCTGTAACTAATAGGAAGACTTATTTCAAGTGATAGTAGTAACACTTGTTGGTGCTTTACGCCAACCACCATCATAATGTTAGCACCACTGTTCTACAAATAATGCATGAATTATGTTGCCGAGCAGTTACCATTACGTAAATGTAAGGTGTCAACTGGATTGAAAAGGTCAAAATCAGTTGCAATATCGGAGCGCGACACCATCTCTGTTCCAATATATTTATCTAACACCTTTTGATACAATGATAATTTTATTTCGCCACAAAAAAGTCATGCCATTTGTCAAATCTTTCTAATGACCTGTTTGAATTTTTATTCAGCTTGATCCGGTGATTTTTGTTAATATTTTTCCTCTCATTCTGTCTCAAGGAACCTGGTCCGAGTTGGAGATTTGCATTTAGATCCGAAGGTCTATGATGGCGCAAGCCCAGTGGATATCGTCATTGCGGAAAAGATAATCCATCCCGGCTATGTAGCAGCCCCTGTCTCCAACGACATCGCCATCCTCCGCCTTTCAAAGCAGGTGCAATTTACAAGTGCGATTTGTATTTCAGTGCTCTTTTAGCATTATCGTTCACTCAAAGTGGGACTAGGAAAATACGTAGCTCGAATGTGGTAATTCAGTGTGTGCGCTTGCGCATTATTATTTTGAAGCGTGTGGAATCAAAACTCCTATAATTTCTTCTTCCAAACTCGGAAATTGCAAAAAAAAAAAACACACAAAAAACTGTCACAACGTCTTGAATGAGTGAATTTCCTCGACTGAATAGTTTAAGAGTCAACTTGAATAGAGATGGAACAATAGACCTGAAAGCGGTGTCTACACGGAGAAAAATAGAACCGCGCTGAGTACCAGAAGATGGACTTCATCACATGGGACGGATGATGATTTTGCTTTAACATTCCATTCCGCACTTGGGCACAGTCGACACTTGTCCCCAGCACGTTCCTCTTGTACTTTCGCACAAATTTCCTCTGCTAGGTGACATGTTTTCCTGCAGTCCACCACATCCGGCGTATATTTAAGCAAAGTTGGTGCTGAGCACCGTTCTATTTTTCTCCGTGTACGGGCATCAGTTTTCTGATTATTCAGAAATGATTTATGGATTAATGGTTCTTATAAACCTCATTTTGATTCATACAATTTTAAGTTTTATGATTCTTGACATTTGAGATTTTTGTGGAAAACGCAGTTGATTTGAAGGGAGGGAAATTTTGAAATCGTCATCAACTTCAGCTTTTTGTCCTTGAAAATGTTCGAACTTTAGGGGGATGAATTCCTCACTCTCTTAGTATTCTTTCCTTCGGGGATAGTGTTTATTTATTGATTTGCATGCGACTTCCTAGAATGTTTTTCCTTGATGTTATTACGTCGATTTTTTCCAGTGGAGGGTTCATGAAGTTTTGAATATACATACATTATTCTGTCTAAAAAAAATATTTATTCATATTTTTACATGCCATTTTTAGAGATCAGCAGGAACAGAGATTTTTTGGTGTGATATTTACTTTGACAGATGGCTTATAGACCTTAAACCAAAATAATTAGGTGAGGAAATGAACGCTGTGTTGTGCTCATCGTTCAGTTACCTCTAAGTCTTTCTCAAAATGGTTAGCACTTCGGTTTTTTTTTATTTTTTATTTTTTTACTTTTGTCTCTATATGCATCTGAATTATTTCTCTCAGGTATCCTCTAGAAGTATATGTCAAAGCCCTCCATTCAAGACTTTTCTTGTATGATACATTTTTTGACAAGATTTTACAAATATCGACGGTGAAATTGCAGAAATGCGTTCTTTGGTAGCAGTGTTTCGAAATTTCTGCTCACATCTTATTTTTTTAATAAGAAATCAAACCAACATAATGGCTTGAAATTTTCACAGAATATTTTTTATGAAGCGAAGAAAATCGCTTACATTCTCAAAAACTGACTTTCAGCAGTTTTGATGTAGAAAATAACGTATATGACAGGAAGTCTGCGACGCCGCAAACCGAGATTCGCATTTCTGCAGTTTCAACATTGATAAATAGCTTTATTATTAGCCGTTCAGTGACTGAAAGTCACTTAATTTCGCATCTCTTTTTTCACTCTAGACAAATCTTTACTGTATTTTTTCAGATCTGATTAAGCCTATTTGCTTGCCGTTTCGAAAAGATATTCGGAAAAATTCTCTGGTGAACTACGAGCCGTACGTTGCTGGCTGGGGAGCAACTTCTTGGAGTAAGTTCTGAATAAAATTTCCGGCAACTTTTACCTGTTCATGCAACCAATATCTACAGGCACTAGTACTAGCTACCAACTATCTGTAACTATCCGCGGGGCTTTTCCATCGAAAATATTTTTTTCATTGTCAAATGACGTATTGAAAATGGAATGTCTAATTTTGGGTGGAAAAATGGCACCAATGATACATTCGGACAGAGTCACATTCAGTGGCGAAGCGTAAATGATCAATTATCGATATTTCCCCATTTGAAGCTACGAAAAAGAATCGATTATCGAGGTGTGCGTTGCGAACACTCTCTTTATCGATCCTTTCCATAAGTTTAAATGGGAAATCACTCGATGTATCTCAAAGCGCGCCAGGCCCCTGGTCATATTAGTGAAGTTTCTAGCAAAAGTGTGCACTGGAAAAAAAACACATTGGATCTACAGTCCAGACTCTTGAAGACATTGATAAGAAAAAGGACTCTTGATTCAATCAGATTTAAGCTTAAATCAAAAGGAAATCCGCTCAAAGTAAGAAGCTTGGTTCTTGATTTAAGCAAAAATCCGATTGAATCTAGAGAATTTTTTCTTGTCGATGTATTTAAGAGTCTGGACTCTAGATCCAATGTGCTTTTTTTCCCCAGTGTGGGTGCTCTATATTTTCCGCACTAAACGATTCATGTACTCGTAATTTGGCTCTGTAGTCGTGTTGTTGATTCGTGTAGGTAACCAATCCGTACTAACTCAAGAAATCTGAAGCAAATATAGCACAAGAGTTCAGTTGCATGAATCGAGATTGTTTACACAATCCAAATAGTTTAGTTGATATGAAGCATCTTACTGCAGTTAAATGACCAATTTTGATTACGAAGTGTGGCAATCTTCATAAAATCAGAACGCATTGAAATTCTATTAGGAAAAGGTTTAAAAAAAACAGAAATAAAAACATCTGAGGTCACGTGTTCCTCAACAAAGATTATTTTTTTGGTGAATATTTGTAAAATATCAAGTCATTGGAAATGTGAAATTCAATTTTTCAGCGACGCAAGCGACATTGAGAAGTAGGCATTAATCCAGGCACTTGCCTCGTTACACCGAAGACTCAAGGTTTCTATCATATTGAATTTCAGGGAAACTTGGTTGTCTTGAGAACTCTTACGTTCATCACTTATAAAAATGACAAGAGAGGTTGAAGTAAACTTTTAGAGTGTTAACGTGTAAACAAATGGGCCCACGACCACACTGGGTATTACAACTGACGTAAACAAAAGTTGAAGCTGCAATCGAGCTTGTGCGAATAAAAAAGTGACATGTCTGCGAAAGTATGCTAGTGATAGTATAATACATGATCGATTTCTGGGATCATAATGACTTCACGGCCAACTTAGGGGTTAAGGTTATCGAACATTTGATAAAAGATTACACAAGCTCATACGAATGGGAAAAGTGCCTCGATCGAATCGAGTGAGATCTTAGTCGTTATAGCTCGTCAAATACAGGAAGACATTTTACTTACATGATTTTCCGTGAGATCGAACAAATCGCATCTCTAACCGTAGTCTTCATAATCGTCCCACACTTAAGGTGACTCGATGGACGCCCCATTTTGTGTCAAAACGACATGCGATATGTCGCATCGATTAGTCCAATTTCTTCAGCTAATCGTCATTTTTCTCATATTTTGAGATCGCAATTCTGTTGCCAGGAGGCTGAAGAATTCATATATCAATTTTGACAACCAAATTCAACGTATTAAAGACGTGGTTTTTTCAGAGGAAAAATATCGCATTCGAGTGCAGTTTTGATATTAGTGTCGAATGCGATATTTCTCCTCTAAAAAACTCACGCCCTTAATACGTTGAATTTGTTTGTGAAAATTGGTAAGTGAATTCTTTAGCCTCCTGGCAACAGAATTGCGATCTCAAAATATGAGGAAAATGACGATTAGCTGAAAAAATGGAACCAATCGATGCGATTATTGCATGGCGTTCTGACACAAAATATGAATTTTTGATGTGGTCGATCTGGCATGCGATATACCGCATCGATTATGTCAACAATCTCGGTAGACTTTGAATTTTTATAGCCCAAAGAAAGACGATGGTCCCTCCACATCAAGCCAAAGAATCAATCTAACCCCCATCCCCAAAAAAATGGGCAAAATTCAGAGAAATGAAAGCAGAATTCGATTCGGAAAAAACCCCGCATTCAATACAGTTATCGATTTCTGTTTAGAATGCTAGGTTTTTTCCCCCAAATCAAATACTGCTTTCATTCCTCTGATTTTGGCCAATTTTTTTTGGTTTAGACTGGTTCTTTAGCCTAATAATGCGCGAGTCGAGTTATCGTCCTTTTTTGAGCTAAAAATTCAAAATCTTTCGAGATTATTTTTTACACAATCGATGTGATCTATCGCACGCCGGTTCAACCACGCATTGGGGGGGAAAAAAAAAAACACATTGGATCTAGAGTCCAGACTCTTAAAAACATCGAAAAGAAAAAGTACTCTTGATTCAATCAGAATCTAGCTTAAATCAAGAACCAAGCCTCTTAATTTAAGCGGATTTCGTTTTGATTCAAGCAAAAATCCGATTGAATCAAAAGTATTTTTTCTTGTCAATGTTTTCAAGAGTCTGGACTCTAGATTCAATGTGTTTTTTTCCAGTGCGGCAGGAACCGTGACGAATCACTTTACTTAATTCGGTGCACACTCTTTCACTTGTTATTCTTCTGGCATTTTTAGATTGATTGGGAATCCCATATTCTTGGTAATCCTCTTAAAATAGGAAAGCCCCTTGAGCTGAATTGAATTATTACATTTTTCGATAAAGATCATCTATTTCTGGCGCAAAATCACCTTTCTACATCGGAAAACTAGTGACACATTATGTTCTTTCTGCTGTTTGCCAGGGATTGGGCTTCCTTCTCGTAAAATGTAGTTCGATTCGCTTCAAACCGAAGCGGTTTGAGCGCATACTTGATTTCAGAATTCTCTGGACCGAATTATTTTGTCTAGTTATGTGATTATAAAATTTTCTGAAGAAAAGACAGAAGAAATCACAGAGCGCTATTCAGATGTTTAATATTCTTCGATCAAACCATGCAGATTCTCGAGAAATCATATCGATTAGTTTTTCGATAAAAACAATGAAAAATCACAGCAATATTGCAAGGAAGCAAAGTCAGAGAAGTGGTTTCCGAGTCTAAACTTTTCACTGCACTTAATTTTATTCAATGTAGTCCATTTGGACCGCGTTTAGCAGAAAGAAGCCGAGCCACATTACCTATTGCTAAATTCAACGTGGCAATTTAATTTTTTACGACGGAACGTTTGTGCGGATTCCTCTGAAAATTTTAAGGAATTTCCTTCGTGCCAGGACGGAAATAATTCACTGACATTTGCACAAAAATCCGCACAACCGTTTTCATTTAAAACATTAAATTGCCCAAATAAACGTTCGACAATAGCTGATGTGGCTCCTTTTCTTTTTAACGCGACCTTTGCCGATGAAATAGGTGTCACAAATGTGTTTCACCGGCAAAATATCGTCGATAGAAGACAAGTGGTTGGTGGTCATTTGCACAGATTTTGTGCAATTGACCAAAAAAAAGTGGGCATTTGCACAAAAAAATGGCCATTTGCACAAATTGCACGATGCGGCAACTCAGCATGTTCGATTATTGAAAAACACCATATTTTTCCTTCACACTTTAACAGGCTGAGGACTGTCCAATTTCCCTAATCATTGGGCGTGTTTAAAAAAGTCGGTATTAATTTTTATTATTCGGTGTTTTTTTTTATTTTTTTTATTTTTTTTTTCATTTTGGCTTTTTTTCTTTTTTATGTCTTTTCTTTTTGTCAATATTTTGAGGAAAACACAAATTTGTACAAATGACCTGCAACGAAAACGAGTTGCAGAACGATGATGCAAATTAATTAAGTAATCGATCTGCTTGTTTTTTAGACGGACCAGACAATAAGCACCTACAGGAGGTGCAGGTGCCTGTGGTGGCCACGGAGGAGTGTAAAATTAACTACAAATCTCGGCAAGATGCGGTCATTGATCAGCGCGTCCTCTGCGCCGGCTACAGAGATGGCGGCAAGGACTCATGTCAGGTGAGTCGCCAAAGTGCACTCCGGTGGCGTGGCGTGAATGATCGATTATCGATACTTTCCCATTTGAAGCTATGGAAAAGAGTCGATTATTAAGGCGTTCGCTGCGAACACCCTGTTTATTGATCCTTTTCCATAGGTTTAAATGGCAGATTAATCGATATATCGCAAAGCACGCCACGCCACTGGTGCACTCCCACTCGAATAAGTACCAACGGAAGCTTCGTGAATAAATTCAAACGTCGTCAAAGTTATTCTGATACAATTTGCATTCGTTCGAAAAATTAAAATCGTTCAAAAAAGTTGATGAGCAATTCACCAACGTTAAGTTCGTTGCGACTTACTCTGGTGAACTGCATAGAGAAAAAAAAGGAGGTGTTTGCATCTAGAGGTTTTTTACCCTGTGACGTAGGTCGGTACAACCTGGCCAGCAAAATCCGGAATTCGGAGTATGAAAAACGGACCGTAATGTCCCATTTTTTTGCTTAAATCAACTCGTGGTATAATTTCAAGCACTTTAAAATAGAATGACTTTTTTTTCCATAAATTACACCATTTCCAAGAAAATCGATGATAAAAGTCGTTGTGCCGACCTACGTCACCAAAAAAATTCCAAGATGCCCGTAATACAAACACCTCCTTTTTTTCTCTATGAGTGAACTGTGATAATTTTGAAGTGAAATGGACCACTAGACAAGGTACGAATTTAAACAATCTGATACATGTTTTTTAACAAGAATTTCACGTAGAACATGATTCGTGCAACGAAAATTACTGAAACCAACTCCTAAAGAAGATATTAACGGTTTTTATTTCACATTGGTTACGAGAAATTTGAACTGCCCGCTCACAAGAAACTCAAAGCTCTACGTGAGTCAAATCGAGCACTACAACGGTTTCAGCAAGCCTCTCAGTCAAGCAATATACATTCCTCACCACGTGTTGTTTAAATTACAAGCAATTTGCTATAGCTGAGCCAGAGTGTCAAGATTGAGGTTGCTACATTTTTATATAGCAGAGACTGTCATGATAACGTTTAGCGCTCGATGTGAATCACGTAGAGCATTGAGTTTTCATGAGCGGGTGGTTTGAATTCACACATCAAGAATCACTAAATAGCTTCGTAAAGAGTTAATTTTTGTAATTTTCGTTGTGCACATCGTGTTTTACGCGAAATTTTGGTTGATTGACATGTATCAGAATGCTGAAATTCGTACCTTGTCTAGTGGTCCATTCTGTGCCGAAGTCCACACCGCGCACATCCGATTATGCGGTGCGGAGTCTATTCTCCTAACGGAGTGACTTACACTATTACGGAGCGGAATCTACTCTTCTTGCGGGGTGTCATGCGCTTTTATGGTGCTGATTTCACTCCGCACTCATATCACTCGGGGTTTTTAGGTGTTGTATATACTCATTTCATGAACTTTATTCCTCGATTTTTAAGATTGCATATCCGGAAAGTCTAAGGAAATTTATACAGAAAGAGGGTCAGCGATTTTCCCAACGTTCGTTGAAATTTCGTATAAAATTAACGTTCTTTTTATAAATGGTTCCTGGTAAATTTAAACACAATTTCTTCAATATAAAAATCATATATCGACGGTGTAAGTCGTCAATCACATACCTAACTTTGTTTGCGACGTCGCAGTCTCCCTGTCATACTTTATTTTTTAAACGGAAAACTTTTCAAAGCAATTCTTTATAACTTCCTTGATTTTTCTTTTCTGTGCAAAAAAAAATCGGTGAAAACTGTCAATTTGTTCTTCTCTAAAAATATCACATAGAGGCGGAGATTTTCAGACACCGCCAACGAGATATGTGATTGCAGACTTATGTCGTCGATATATTGTCTGGAGGGAGAGCTGGAATTCTTTGAATAGGTAACTATTACTGCTAGGAGGATGTGATCTTGCCTACCTCCAAAATTGAAGGAGGGACAGCAAATTGCGTAAAATCCATAACCCCGTCGTAGGCTCCCTAAATTTTCAGTCAGATCACGTCCCTGCCTCTGGTGCGACTCGTTGAAGTGAATAACACAAGTCTCATGGAAAAATATCCATTTTGAAACACTTCCTTTGACTTATCTACGCCCCCCCCCACAAAAAAAATCGCGACCTTCATGTATGGTGACGGTACCTTTATTATTAATAGTTTCCATTGCGATAGGAGCATTGCATTTAGAACTCAAATTTTTGTAAAGTGACGCGGTCGGTGCCCATCTAAACCTTCTTGATTCCTGTGATTCATAGTCCCGTGATAACATACTGTTGCCTAATGCAGAGACATGGAGATTTATCGAATGATCATACTATACTAGCGAAATTTCCGTGACTGGAGTCACGGGTCTAGAGGCCGCTAAAATATCTATAGCCCCGAAAAAATAGTGGTAGGGTAGCATGACATGCCATAAAAAAAATGATAAAATCGATAGAAAAATGAGTTGAATGGAGAGGGTGATGGAGGCAGAATAATGAGCTGGGGGGGGGGGGGGGG